TCCTCTCTGGGTTCCTAATCTCTACGCTGAAAGACACCAAAGAACCAATTGGTGACCAAATGTCACCAGCCCAAAACTGCAACACCGTGCGCCGAAGAGAATGCCACAGAGTGGCTCCCAAGATGATGGATGGGCCAGAGGGGCTGCAGGCTGTGCCCATTCTCACTGTTTACCACTGAATAAGTCACAGGAAAGCAAGAAATAATTAAAGAGAAAGGACCACTGCAGGTACCACGTGTGTGGGCAAGAGGCCGGGCCAACCTAGTCCCCGTGGATGAGGTGCCCCTCCCAGAACACCCCCCCTCCAAAATGCTGTCTTCAGCAGCCGGTTGGTTCCAGCGAAGTGACTGACATTTAAAGTCTATGGTGCTATAGGTCTTGGTAATTCCTAGATGCTTTTACAACAGGCAGGAAGGCTGTTACTATTTAGGGGTTGAGGTGATTTGTTTTTCTCTTTAAAAATAGCCTCCACTTGGGGCGCCTGGGTGGCTCAGTTGGTTAAACGACTGCCTTCGGCTCAGGTCATGATCCTGGAGTCCCTGGATTGAGTCCCGCATCGGGCTCCCTGTGCGGCAGGGAGTCTGCTTCTCCCTCTGACCCTCCCCCCTCTCATGTGCTCTCTCTCATTCTCTCTCTCTCAAATAAATAAATAAAATCTTTAAAAAAAAAATAGCCTCCACTGATTAGGAAAACATATGCAGCCCCCTTGCAGATTTTAAAAGGAGGCAGCACCTTCTGTCATGTGCTCTGCTCTTTCACCAACAGACAGCACCCAATACTTCCTGCCTACCATCTCGTCAGATTTAAAGAGAAGAAAGTATTAACTGTATCTCACCAATAGCTGTTTATCCAGTGAATTATAAAAGAAGCCACTGGGTTTTTATTATCCAAGCCTTCAGGACAGTTTGAGTTCAACACACACAATGTTTCATTCATGCTGTTAAATGGATAATATTAACCTTTCTTGCTGAGACGCATTAAAAATGCTGGCTTTACAGAGCAAATGTAATTAGTGCACATTAGTAACTTCACCAGTCGCAGTGACAGAAGCAAAGTGAACTAACAGGATATAGATTAATGTAATCAAAATATCATCTCCTATCATCTCCACTTGTTAGGCAGCAGGCTGCACTTCCTTTGTTGGTTGAATGGTTTGTTTTGTTTTGTTTTTCTTTTTTTTTTTTTTTTTAAGATTTTATTTATTTATCAGAGAGAGAGAGACAGAGGCAGGCAGAGGGAGAAGCAGGCTCCTTGCTGAGCAAGGAGCCCGATGTGGGACTCGATCCCAGGACCCTGGGATCATGACCTGAGCTGAAGGCAGACGCTTAACCGACTGAGCCACTCAGGCATCCCTTTGTTTTTCTTTTTAATAAAACCGATAGATCAATGAAATGGATGAATAACTACTTGCAATCCCCCCTCAGGCGACTACTGTACAGGAAACCATTTTGGTGAGTGATCCCAAAAGTTTTTAATTTGATGTCCCTGTTCAGTACAACTGTGACAACAGAGCAAGCGCGCAAGGCTCTTTTTCAGGGCCGGGCTAAGGAACTCTCCAAGAGAAAGACACAGAAGTGGAGTGTTTGCCCTTTGAAGTTCCTCCAGCCTATTCACATGCTGAAATGTATGTCTGCCAACATCGTACTGCCCATCCACGGTAAGTGAGTATTGTCTCTCAACCCTCCTTCTTCTGATCAGAATATCCACAGTTTCCTCGGGTGGACCACCTTGTCCTCTTCCTCCTTGAGGTTGGGCAACCAGTGGCCTGGGCTGGCCCATCAAGGCATGGTTTCCTTGGAACATACTGGGGGAGGGCAGGCACTGTTTACGGCACACAGAGACACAAGGAACCGAAGCTGTGCCATTAGATCAGAACACCAGCTCTTTTGCACTGAATCCAAAGTTGGGAGATGCAGGGTTGAAGCTGTTGATAATCCTTCTGCTGCCACATGGACCCCAAGCGTGAAGCCCACATGCTGGCAGGTGAGGTGCGAAGAGCCCCCCAGTGGGGCTCTTGAAGCCTGCCCCAGTCCGACACTTTTCCATTACGTAAGATGGGTGGTCATTTTGTTTATTTTGTCTTGTTTTGCATAAACCAGTTGAAATGGTCCCACCCCACCCCCCAGCCCTTTGGAAATGTAAGTGAAGATACATCATACAACTCATTTCCCATAAGGCCACAGGGCCCTCCCCGGATTTGAAGGAATGACGTATGGCCACACTGGGTGGTCATCTTCCCTCATGCTGTGTGACAGCGCTGCAGGGACAGCCCCTCCGAGCTCCCAAAGTTTGGAACCCACAGTGACTACAGCTACAATCCAATCAGCACTGCTGCTAGAACATTCCAGGGTCTCATGCATCACTAGGAAGCAGAGACAAGAAGAAAGGATATTGCTACCCATACATTTTTTTTTCTTTTTATGCAGGAAATTGAAAGTAGAATTTGACAGTCCTTCCTCAGGACCAGCTTTTACATTTAGGCTGTACAGAATTTTTTAAGTTTAACCTAGAAACTCGTCCTTGTATAGATGGGAAATGCCAAATTCAGAACAATATCACAAAAACTAAACAATGCAAAAATTGCACTTAGAAGAAAGTGATTCAGAGCTTCCCAAAAGTCCTTTTTAAGTAGGAAGGCACCATGTTAATTTAGTTCTTGTCCAAACTCAGGGAGGCATTCAAAGGTTACACAATCAGCCTCCTGGCATCATTAAAGTACAAAGAGCAGTTAATGTTCAGAATGGTGGTCACCAATTAGTCCAAAACATGCACTGATTTATCAAGCTCACACGTCTGTTTAAGTTTTAAGTTGCTCTGTTAGCGCCTGACTAAGCCTGAGTGACACAGGTCTGGGGTCAGTTACTTTATTGCAAAGTTAATGCCACTTTCATGAAGGCTCCCCGGATGCAAATTCCATAAGCCATTCTGGGTACAGAGAGAGAACTAGAAACACGCTACTTTTTTTCTCCATGTGTTTCCATTTCAAGGGGGGAAAAAAAAAGCATGATGAGAAATATTGAGATTTGATTGAGGCTGACCTACTTGGAAATAAAAAAGGATGAATTTATAGCTGAGTATTTTAAAAATAAAAAAAAAAAGGTTGAATACAAAAATGTCATGTCCTATTATTACTTTAGGTTAATGCATCTGAGCACAACGACTAGAGGAGAATACCTGTTATTACGTCCAGTCACCAAGCCTGCATGATCTTCACACTAAGTAATGCCATTATGGAGAATTTCCAAAGAAATTAAGTACAACAAAAACTTCAAATGGAAATAGTAGTACAGTTTATAGGAACTGAATGTACATGCTTTTACACCTAAGGATTGCAACATGCACAGCCAGCATCTGAGGGTCCCACGAGGCGGGCTAATGTTACCTGCTGCTCAGGGAAACTATTCTATCACCACTGCGGCATGTCTGTAAAGGACTTTCAGGGTATGTAATATCAGCCCCCATTGTGGTCTTGCCTGTTAGCAGATCAAGTGTACTAAATTATCTAGGCATAAGACTTGCAAGAAAGGGAAAGGAAGAGATGATTAGAGGTAAACTAGACAAATCCCTAGGCTTTGCTTCCCCCAGATACGTCTCAGAGCATTGTTCAGGGTCCCTATAATGGTGATTTGGGAAACAGAAGTAACTTGCAAGGAGTCCTGTGTTTCATCCAGATTTTATTAAGATATCACGGCGTGGGGTGGAGGGAGGTGTCCATCACTTCTCATCTTCATCAGGTACTTATGTTACAAATGGCTTGTACTGAGAATAAGGTTAAAGATTTTGGAGGATTCTTCTCCCAAATGATAATGCTGGGGAAAGGCCGCAGCAGTGGAGGCCTGGCTCCTCCAAGGGCTGAGCAGCCTTGGGTGAGTTTCCTTACTCAAGATCCCCTGGCCTCCTCTAGACCACATGGCGGTTAAACAACCCTTCTCTGAGGAAGAATCCGAGCCTCTCAAAACAGCCTCCTTCCCTAGGGACTCAGAGGTGCCCTTGGACCCAGTCCTCTATGGAGGGGAGGTTCACAATGAAGCTCTCCTCCATGGAATATGCCAGGTGCTTGATGACCCACAGGTATCCTTCTGTGTAGCAGCTACTCCTTATATAAAATGTTTAAAAGACAAAGATTTATCAAAAAAAATGGGCCCTGGCAGCTCTCTTCTTCCCACCCCCCACAACCCCTCCAAAGCACTGGGAGGACTCCCAAAATAGGTATCCAGTGCTGTTTCCAGCCAGGTCAGTGTTTCCAGAAACCTCCTAGACGAACTCCACTTGCTCAGGCCACAAGCACCTCAAGTTCAACATGTTGAAACTATAAACATTCTCTCTCCTTTCCCCACCAAATTTCTGTCCTGTTTATTCCTATTCTAGTTAATGGCATCGATGATCAGTCAGCATCTCCGATTGGTCCTCAGTGATCCTTAAACTCTTTGCTTTTCTTCTACCTTCCCCATCGCCTTCTTCCTTCACTGTGCCCTGCTAAATCTATCTCCAAAAGGTCTCTGACACCCTTTTCTACACTCACTCTCCACCTACCGGCTCCGCCAGCTTCTCTCCCCAAATGACTGTCAGAGAATCTTATGGAGCATAGATCTACTTATAGCTATCCACTGCTTCACAGTCACTGCCTGTAAAGTCAGGTCCAATCTCCATAGGCAGGCAGACCGACCAGACCCACACAACCTGGTTTTTGCCAGCCTCTCTCCCTTACTCTTAGAGGCAATCTACTTATCCAGATTTATTCTGATACTGCCTTTATTCACCCCAGTCCCCAAGCTCTGCTACCTGGTGAACTCCTCTGCCTCTGTTGAGGCCCTGCTCAACTGTCAGCCTTTCCCTGACGCCCTCCACACCAACGTGCCCCCTTCCAGACACCCATGAGACTTTCAGCACAGCCCTAATAAAATCCACTCCACACTACTGTGCGGCTTATTCACCTGTCAAACTCCCCCAAACCCAACCCAGGCGAGGCTCCTCCGGGACAGCAGCTGCGGCTCACTTGCCTTCAGATCTCCAGAGCTGAGCGTGGTGCCTGGCAGAGGGCGGCAATCTGCAAATGTCTGCTGAACCTGACGGACTGGGCACAGAACTGAGAGAGAGATCCGAGATGAGCGCCGTGCCTGTGAAATAAACATGGTGGGTCTAACGCTACCCAGTTGGCCAAGGTCAGCTGGACCTCCCCCAATGCCAGTAACCCCAGTCAACAAGTGGAACCAAACACAACTGTGCAGAAACATGCTGTCACTGTCACTGCTAACCACATTTTCCAACAGTCTGCTCCAAGTCACAGACCAACTGGTCAATCGCTGTTTGAGTCTCCAACCTGTATCCCTCCAACGAGAGAAGGAACTAATATAGAGTCTTTTAATGATTACCCTGGTGTTCAGAAAATAAAGGGGCAGCACAAAGCTGAACTGTCCCCAGTACATGACAAGAAATAGGACACGATTTGTGCCAACTCCCAGTCCCCCCCTCCCAGAAGAGCCCCACCCCACCCCCCTGGGAATGAGAGGCACGAAATTCCAGCCAAGGAACCCAGGGCCACTGGATGCAGCTTTAAATAAACAGATCTATGGAAACAGTTATCAGTGAGGACTAATCTTTCGTCATGACCCAGCTTTTGAAAAATTCATTGGGAGGAACAAACAATAGGCAAAATAACTGAAGTCAAATGAGGGGAGAAAAAAATCGAACCTTTTTAAATGCCATTCATTCTCAAGGGTTAATGATTACGCGGATACATGACTTGTGTAGAGAATAAGGAGGCAGAGAGCAGCTAACCTCTAATAAGTATTCAGGCCTCAACTAAAATATTCCTTCCTTGGTATAAACTATAATGTTGAGAAAAGGATTCACACATCCCATGACATCTATTTTTATAGCACACAGCCCAGAGTTAGCCATATCACTTTTAATGACTTGAGATTCCAGAAGAATTATCACTATGGTAACATTTCAAAATGGCTGTCAAAGTTACCAGGCACCAGTCCACAACAGTTTGGATCTAGTAGGGCTTTTAGAACAGACTGAGTTATTTTCAAAATTCATCTAATGATTCCGCATGCCCAACAAAGCTTGGCTAGAACTTGGCTAATGGGGTTATTTACAAGTGTGACTTAATAGAAAGAATGCCCTGTACATAATAAGCACTCATATATTATCTGCTGTCACTCTGCCCAATGCCTTTTGTACAAAATAATTCACCGGCGATTACACTGATGTGATCAAACTCTTTAAATTTTTTTTTATGTTTTAAAGTATGAGGAAGAACAGGGAAGTAGAAAATTTGCCATTATTTTTGTTACTTTAATCACTGACCTTAAATTATTTTACAAAATAGGAACTGATATAAATTATACAAGATAAAATAGATCTCAAATATTTAAAAGTGCTTGTGGGTGGAAAACAAAATACATCCTACAGTTAGGAACATATACTTAAATTCTTAAAATCCTCCCATTCTCAAGGGTTAGCCTTAAAAGAAACAAGTAATGCCCTTCGCTTCTCATGTTCATAAGAAAACAGAAGGCTGACCTCAAAGGCCCAATTCCACCTGAACTGGTGCAAGCTTCTCAACTCAGAGAGAACAAACTCCAAGTCAGAACCTGAAAAGACCTTAATAATGTGCTTTTAAAAACTACCAGTTGCCCTCCCTCAGTTCTCAAAATGTTTTAATGCATCTCTTAGCATTCAAATAGAAGTTTGAGGGTATGAGAAAGGAAGTGTAGGAAGGAGAGAGCACTGCGTCATAGGTCATATAAAAAGGTTTCTAGAAACATTAATTTTAGTCATATACTTATTTTGTCCTGGGGTCATGATGTAAATCTACGTCTTACTGTGGGTCTGGTCAAAGCATTTGGAAACCACTGATGTGGTGGTATGCCTTTGTTTCCAAGAGAGGTGAGGTAACCTGCCCCAGGTTAATGCTTAGGAAACAGTGGTACACTCAGATATTAGAATTGGAGTCCTCGTTTTTAAACATTCTTTCCCTTATGTTACTGTGCCTCTTTTCATCAATAAAATGTTCAACACAAGCATCCAGTAGGATGAATTTACAAATAACCATATTTGAGAAATTAAGGAGCCACTGACACAAATTCTGCTTTTAACTGGGCTGTTCAGACCAGATGCCCTTTAAATGGGCCCTGTGATCCCATAAACTTTTAATTACAAAATCATGGACCTGCAGAAACAGGGTGTTACAAGTGAGAACTGTTCTTTCCAAGGGTTACGCAGGGAAAACCTTATCCAAGTTTGCCAAAAGCACACACGACACTTCCAAGGCCATCTACCAAGGACAAACACACACACACACACACACACACACATTGTCCCAAGGGCATTCTAGACCAAGGTCCCTGCCAGGGCCTACTGTTTCGACTCTCATAGAGATGGTGAATCCCAGGCTTCAATCCCTGAGAAAGCCCAATTCTCACTGGTCAAGGCAAGGAGGCCCCCAGCTAATGTCTCCAGGGAGCTGGGAGAGTTCACCAAGACCTCACACAGAGCCTGCTTTCACAGAAGGACAATCAGATGTAGAAAAGTCTGCCTTATAAAAACACATTAAAGTAGAGGGGTTTTTTTTTTAATGCAAAGGAGTGTAATGAAGAATATAGGGAATGGACCCTACCCTATTGTCTGAATAATATCTGTTGATCTTTGAAAAGAATAAAAGCCATATAAGCACATGGTTAGAAAATCCAAACAGTGCAAAAAATGTACAAGATGAGTAGTGAGGGTCACCCAGAATCTCCAGTCACTTTCCATGGAAAATACGTATTTCTCACTTTCTGGGATCCCTTCTGGAAAACTTTTTAATGATTGTACCAGCATTTACCAGAATATATTTACCACCAAAAATGCACTTTTTAAAGTCAGACCTGAAGGATCACGATACACACGATGGTCTGCATGTTTTTTCACTTAATTTATATGAGCATATAGATCTAATTTTTTTCTTCAGGAGGAACTGCTCTATGAGTCGGTATAGATTTCGTGTCTTCAAGGATGATGGGAGTTCAGGGTCTTCCTACAGCACCACCTTGGACCGGAACTCTTCTGAAGATCTACCTTTTTTCACAACAGCTGTTCTGTAAGTGAGAATTCTACTCTTTAGAAATGTATGAATCAGAAGCCAATTCTATGTGCGGTATTCTTTGTGCCTACTCTGCGCAATCCTAAAAGGACTGTTTAATAATTACACCCTTGGGAACAAAAACACTATAATGCATTGGTTAGTCTTTCACCTGAAGAGCTGTCCTATGTCAGGCCTGGTGTTGAGTTCTTTCCTTTACTCCTCAGGACAACCTTGGAAGAGAGCTAGGATCCTGTCTTACAGAAGAAGTGCCTTAGAAAGACAAGCTCTTGAGCAAGGTATCAGAGCCAGGAAGTAACAGAGTCAAGACTTTAAGCCAGATCTGTCTGATTCTAAGATCTCCTACTAGAAGGGACTTTTTTTTTTTTTTTTTTTAAAGATTTTATTTATTTGACAGAGATAGACACAGCAAGAGAGGGAACACAAGCAGGGGGAGTGGGAGAGGGAGAAGCAGGCTTCCCGCGGAGCAGGGAGCCCAATGCGGGGCTCGATTCCAGGACCCTGGGATCATGACCTGAGCCAAAGGCAGACGCTTAATGACTGAGCCACCCAGGCGCCCCTAGAAGGGACTTTCTTGACATAGGGTGAAGGTGCTGGCTTCCCTACCAGAGAAAAGGAAGCTACCTAAAAAGCTGTACAAAGAAAGGGCCATTACCCACTCTCTGGGGTCTCACCCAGCAGCTGGCTTTGGGAGAGAGGGCAGAATGGGCTCAGCCAAGTTAGCATCGGGAAGAGCTACGGGCCACCTCTCACCCTTGTTCTGTTGTCCCCTGAACAGGGGTGTGGAGCGAAGGAGAAGATGAGCTGCTCAGGCCTCTCCAAGAGAAGGAAGACTGCCCAGGCTGAAGCCAGCTGACCTTAACATTCGCTCCTGACCCCCACCAAGTCCAGCCAGGCTTTCCCAGAGACACAAAAAGGACTGGTAATAAACAGAGGCAACAATAGGCAGGCTTTCTCCCCGGAAACATCACTTTTCACTAAAATGCCTATCTTGCATAACTGTGGGTATGTTTACAGATCCGGGAATGTGCAAAACAAAATTACTTAAAAAGTATTTAAAAAGTGAGTAACAAAAAAAAAAAAATCCATCTTCAGTGAGTCCAGGGGCTACCTCCTGTTCCTTTTTTCTATGATGGGAAAAGAAGCGGGGGCTTTATTTTGCCTCAGCAGGGCCTCCAGGAGACCTTTTCCGGCCCAGCCGGCATTCCTTTGGGGTGACAGAGTGCCCGGCTGCGGTTTCCCCAGGTTTCCCCATCCTCCTGCAGCCCCGCAAGCGTGGTGACTAAGCCCACAGGAATCTGGCCCGTGCCCGACCCACCCAGAGGACAGTGAGGACAGGCAGCCGGGAGGAAGCCCCGTGGCTGCCCAGGGCCCCTTCCCCAGAAAGAAAACCCCAAGTCTGCCCTTAAAGCCCAGGTGCAGCTCAAGAGGGCTTGGAGGGTCACTTCTGCTGCAGAAGGAAAAGAGGCCACCTGAGCACAGATGACAGCCCTCTGCCCTTCACAGAGGGCCCCTGGGCCTGCCTTAGCGAAGGGATCACAAAAGCCAAGTTGCAAGGTACACCTTTCTCTCTGAGAAAAACTCCAAGTAAAGGCTGGTTGTTTGCCTGAGGGAGGCAGAATTAAACTCGGGGCAGGGCAGACAACCACAAATTCAGTTTGCCCAATAAATTAAAGAAAACAAGAAAAAAATAAATAAATAAATGTTAAGGTCGTGTGGCCTTAAGGCTTGAACTGATTTTTCAAGAGCTTCATTCATGGTCAAATCAGCATTCTCAGATCTGATTTTGATAAATCATTTCCTGACACTTTATATTTTACTCCCTATATGACTGTTATTTTGTATATATATAAAAAGAATAAAAAGTTTCCTGTAAACCACATCCCTTTCTTCCTTTACCACAAACTGCCATTCATCAGAGCTAAAGCACACCAACCGCCCCCCGCCCCCGGCCATTTAAAGATATCTTTATAAGATTAAAGAAGGGTTTTAAAAAGAAAAAAAAAAAAATCTCCCGGTTAAAAA